TTTCTTATTTTAAATATAGGTTACGCCGTTTTTTTTTTTTTTTTTTTTTTTTTTTTTTTTTTTTAGTAAATTGATGTTATAATTTTACTAGTTATTTGGTAATTGCTTGATATAATACATACAAATGTGCACATGCTGACGTTTTTTTCTTGATTTTGTTTTCAGTTTAGCTTTGGCTTATACAGCGCTCATTCAATATATGTATAAACATTTTTTTTTTTCCATTTCAATTTTATGTATAGTTTTAATTTTAATTAGCCTGCCTATGGAAACCAACTGATAATTATTTTTAAGTTAAGTCAATTATTTAATGTGGGTTTAACTTGGATCTGACCAGCAATCAAAGTTCGATTAAAATAATAGGTTATTACGTTAGATAGGAGGAAAACACATATTTATATATATATTTGTAATTTCTATTTACATTCTAAAGTACAAGCAAATAAAGCGACAATCGGAAGCGATACATTTACAAAATGAGACTTAGAATCTAATGAGCAATAGGCATTTAATTTTATACAATGCGAGAGCAGCGGGGCAGCAGAATGTGTGTGAGAGGGAGAGAGAGCTAGAGTTAGGAGCTTAGCTTGAGAGATTCACGTCCATGTCTCTTGAGTTGGTTAAGCGAACTTCTACATAAGTAGTATTTGTATATACAAAAGCTTTAGGAACAAACTATTCAAAAACTTTACAGCTTTATAACGATTATGTTGAAGAGGCGCGGCGAGCCGTCCTCAATTTTTGGCCTTTGTGGTTAGCATTGAAACCAATTGATGTGCACTTAGCCGCTGATCCTTTTGTCAAAGTTTTCAATAGAATTTTACAATGCCACTGGGAGCGGACTGTGGGCGGTGCGGCGCCAGCTGTTCAGTAGGAGTGCGCCTTGCTGATTATCGATTTCTCCTCGACAGCAGCAGGCATAGACGAATCAGGGCCACCAGCCTCGTTCCGTTCAAAACAATTATTGTTCTTTGTGTGCAGCTCGAAGGTGCTGGAAGACGGCGGAGGCGCAGCTGATGGCGTTGATCGAACGTAGTCATTGGATGACTGCACCTGCGACTGTGGCTGTGGCTGTGGCTGGTCTGCGACGGGCTCCTCATCGGCCTCGACATCGATGGCCGCGTCATCCTCGTCCATGCCTGTGAGATGCTCCTGCTCGCCGTCGGAGTCCACTTCCACGGAGCAACGTCTCAGCTGCATCGCAGGTATTCGCAGCGGCATGGGCGACATCGCCGTGGGCGGTGGCGGCTTCAGCAGCGTCATGGGCGCCGCCAGGCAGCCCACGTTCTATACAAGCGACGACAGGGGCGGCCGCGGTGGGCTGGTGTTGCGGGCAGCGGCCGCAGCATAATACTGCATGGGATGATGATGCGGCGGCGGTGGGGGCACAAAGCCAGCCGTGGTGCCATCGTGATAGAGCACAGGCACACGCACCAGACGCTGGGCCGCATGTGCCATGTTGGCCATGTTGGCTGCCTCTAGCTCGGCGGCCAGCTGGCGCTTCCATTTGTTGCGGCGATTCTGAAACCATATCTTCACCTGGGTCTCAGTCAGCCGGAGGGAGGCCGCCAGGCCAGCGCGCTCCGATGAGCTGAGGTATCGCTTCAGATCGAACGTTGACTCCAGCTGGAACACCTGAGCACGCGAGAAGACCGTGCGCGTTTTCTTCTTACGCTTGGAATTGCTGCCATCGCCGTGCGGCGACGAACTGTCCGATGGGCCGTCGGTGCCGTCATCTTCCTCAATGATTTCCTCGCCTTCGTCGTCCGATTCGTTAGAGCTGGTGGGCAGCATGTAGCCGCCGCTCGCATGAGAGCCCGACAGATGGTGCCCATGATGCGAGAGTCCGCCAGCGCTGCTGGTGGGCGTGCTGGGCTGATGTGGATGCTGTAGATGCTGATGGCCGGCATGTGGATGCTGTTGCTGTTGCTGGTAGAGCGTATGATGGGAGCTGTGGTGCGACGATCCAGTTAGGCCAGGAGGTGGTGATTTGTTGGCGTGGCCATTGCCCATGTTGTTACTGCTGCTGTTGTTGTTGTTGTTGTTGCTGCTAGCATTCGCTGTGAGGTTGTTGTCAATGTTGCTGCTGCTGTTGTTGTTGTTGTTGTTGTTATTGTTGTTGTTGCCGCTGCTGGGGCTCAGCGATGTGGGCGATGGTGGATTTTCAGTGGTGTTTGTGGAGGAACTGTCTGCAAAGTGAGCAAGATAAAGAAAAAAGAGAGCGCATGAGTGACAATCCACTTCACTGAGAGAGCACGCTGTGCGTGTGTATGTGTGTGCATACACATATACACAGATATTTATATTTATATACATGTGGAGGAGCAGGAGGTGGTGGCTGCTCTAAGGGTTGTTTAACGTATTATTGTAGCCATGTGTGTATGTGTGTGTGTGTGTGTGTGCTGCTGCTGCACAGATTTAAGCTGCAACACTTAACCTCACACTTGCCTTCGTCTTGTCTCTTCCTTTCATTTTTGTTTCATATGCCCCACAAACAACTTAGAGCGCAGACGCGTAGAGTAATTGCCCTGCACCCTGCACCCTGCGCACTGCTAACCCCACAGCCTGTTCGCCTACCATATACATATAAATATGTGTGTGTTTATATCTCTGTGTGTTCGTGTGCGTTAAATTACCATTTAAAATGGCCGTCAGTCAGCTGGGCGATTTCAGTTTTATTGAGCTTTTAGTTTGGATCCTATTTGAAAAGTTTAAATTGCTGTAATTTGATTCAAGCAAATTTGACTTGCTGGGCCCCACACAGCCGCCCCCCTCCACCCATCAGCTGGTGCTACGAAACTATGCGCTGAATCAACTAAATTCCAGAAGCCTCACATGGCGCAAAACTTAAGGCCAGTTAACATGAGCAAATGCAATTGCATCGACTTCTAATGCTAAGAGCCCAATCAATTGGGCTTTAACGCTCGCTGACCAGAAAGCTAGCCACTATCGCCAGTAGCTCCCTTCTCCCTCGCTCTCTCCCTCTCTCACTATCTCTCTCTCTCTCTCTCTATCTGTCTCTAATGAATGCAAGCATGTCAAGCACTTTGTGTATTCCCCGCAGTTGCAACTCAATACTCGATTACAAATTGCAATTAATTGAAAATGGCGATTACTGCAGTCGTGTTTCTGAATAGCCAACGCAACACAACGTAACATGTGTAGCTGCGTGCCAATGACACAGCCACCCACACTGTTCAAGCGTCTCGGCATTGTTGTTGCCGGTGTTGCCGTTGCTGTTGCTGCAGTTACTGTTGCCTGCTTCAGGGTGCGCTTTGTGTGCATTGCTCAAATTCTTGCGGGCATTAGACAAGTTTACGCGGCCAACAATGCAAATTAAACGAAATGCTGCTAAGAATGTCTGCCACGGCACATTCTTAGCCAAAGTATTTCAGCTATTCGCATTAAGCTCGTTCTCTGTCCACTATATACATATATATATATACGAAATGTATATACATACATATATTTGTAATCTGTTTACTTTCAAAAAGCGATTTTGTATTTATAAAGATTAGAGATAGATTTAAAATATATATAATTGCACACAAAAAATACAAGTATAATCTTCTTAAATAGAAAATCTGTCAGATTGAGATCTTTAAATTTCTGCTTGTTTATATAAATATATAGTAAATGGTTATGTCAAACTTACCGTGCGTTGGACTATGGAAGGGCATTCGCTGCGGTGCCCAGGGCCAGCCGGGCGGGCATAGAGCTGCATAGCGTCCAGCCAGGGCGCCCCATTGCGAAATGAAACCCAATCTGCAAAACAACAACGAACAATTAACTTTAATTAATTGCAATTATTACAGGTATCAAACGAAACTGGCCAGAATTAGTTAACAACCAAATGTGGTGCCCACACATACATATATAAGGAAATATATAATATATGCATACATAAATATTTCATGCCGACGGCATAAATTTGATAAACACACCAAGAAAAATCAAAGCTGGAAGAGAAAATATCTCAGAAAGAACGACCCCTAAATGCCAACCAACCCCACAGCAGGCAAAGGCCATAACTGGCAACAGCTGCTGCAAATTCGACTCCCCAAGAAAACACACACATATACACATAAATATAATGTAAGGATGTATGTGTGGCTGTGTATATAAATGCCGACGTCCATGTAACCTTGTTAGGTTGTTGCTTAAAAGCATCTTTATAAATACATTTATTTATTTATGTTAGACGCGGCAAAGTTTCCAAGACGAAACACTTTTTGGCGTTAACGTTATAATGTGTTCCATATACGAATGTGTGTGTGTGTTTGTGTGTGTGTGGGCTGTCTGATTGGGGGTGGGTTTTTGTGGCGCTGCCGTTGGGTTTATTGTGCTAAATCAAAGTTTTCAAGTCAAATCATTTAGGCAGAAGCTAATGCGAGAGTTAATTGGAAGAAAGCTGCTTTTGTTCTCTGAGGGTAGCACAGTGTGGTTAGCAGGGGGAGTGGGGAGTGAGTGGGGGGAGTGACTGGGCGTAGGGTTTTGTGCTTGACTGTGCTACTTAAGAGCTTTTCGCGGCCAACCCACCACCCAACTGTTCGAGCAGTCTAGCCCGGCAATTTGATTGATTTATTGATATGTTCAAAAGTGTTTCAGGTGTTCTTAAGTTTCCCACGCACTCAATGAACTTTGCTGTTAAACAATCCGGCCGGGACATAACGTAGCCACAATTCACAGTCCACTCCCACCAGTCTAGAATGCCAATGGTGGCCAACGCCAGCCCCTTTGCTGCTGTTGTTTTTTGTACTTGTTAAACCCTTTGACCGTTTTGCAGGTGACCCGTATGCAAGCAGCAGACTGTGATTTCTTTTCGACCCCAGGCAGCCCCCAAATGCGGCCCAGCCACCCCCAGGCAGACAATGAGCCGACCACGTTGTGTGTGACATTAACATTTAGCTGACCTCTTTCACAGCGGCCAAGGTGCAGGTGTGGAAATCAATAGTCGGCCATCTCTTTCACCTGCTCAACATATCTTTCTTTCCCACTCGCTGAAACATGTATGTGTGTGTATGTATGTGTACATGTCTCTCTCCTACTCTGTTCTCCGTCTGTCTCTGGCTCATGTTTTCCCCTATTTCGCATTGGCAAGTAATGTTTTTCAATTAAATTTACCTTTCGCCTGCGCCCGCTGTTAAATTATGAGCCGCTCCCCCTTTAAGAGGCGCTTCAAAGGCTTCCCCAACTGGCTAACTCCCCCCACTGCCTGGCCTGGCCTGACTTGGGCTGTTTGGCAAGCTGGCGGCTCAAATCACTTCTAATGGGCTTCATGTTTACAACGTCAATTGAGAGAAAGCCGCTCAAAAGATGACGTCCTAGCCACTCCTCAAATTACCGGCCAGCAGCAAAAGCGAAAAAGCACACACAACAACAACGGCAACAACAACAACAGCAAAAAGCAAGCAGAATGAAAAGCAACAAAACAAACGAGTCAAAAGAAATTACCTCAATTACTGCGCTAATTTTGGTCGCTGAAAGCGCTGTCAACGGAAGGGGCCCCAATGAATTGCAAACAGCTTGTAGCTATTTGCTTTACTAATTATCCAAATCAAAGGCGCTGCCCGAGTCCGTGGCAGGCATTTGTTTTCCGCCCAGCAATGAAATAAATACAACATTCCATTGCCCGCGGCAGCCGCAGACCGCGTGGCTCCATCTACATTTTCATTGGTGTCACTTTGTGGCGGAAGTGGATGACCATGTTTAAAATTCACCGGAATGGGGCGTGCCCATTCAGCCCCTGCAGCTGTCAGAAGTCAACGTTGAGCGACCCAAGCGCCCAAGCGCCCCACCATCTCCACCATACCACCCATACCTCCGCTCACGCTATTCGTCCAGTCCAATTCCTCACCCACTTCAATTTGATGCATGGCTGTTATTTCTCGTTTAATGAATTGTTTGCGGTTCTTGCTTTGGGCTTCTTTCACGTCGCTGTCATAATTCGTCTTTGGGGGGGTTAAGGGGAGCTCTCTTCGAGCTGGGACAAAAACTGTGCTATGCAATTGAGTTGTTCAACATGGCGTTCTACATGGGTTCCATGCGCCTTTTGGTTTTCCTTCGTTTGTTCGCGGGACAGGATTTTAATAAATTGGATGTGGCTGGGGCATAAAAACGCTTTGAAGTTTCTCATGCACGCAAACTAATTTAGTTATGAAAATCTGCCAGCTTGAAGAGCAAAATTAACCTTTTGTGGTATATTTAGATTTATATAGATTCATAGTTTGAAGAGCAGACTTATATATATGGAAAATGTTGTATTGAATGAATATATTATAATATATGAAATATATTATATGTGCCGCACTCGCTAACAAGCACCAAGTGAGCAAGAAAGGAACAAGAATATGAATATGAATTAGAAAGATCATTCAAACGCTTGTGTCGCCGAGCTTTCTGTGTGTTGATCGCCTTTCGCAGAAAGTTCTCTGGGCACGGGTCTCCACAGTATATATTTAATATTAATGTGGCAATATAATTTAAAATGAAAGCATGGACAATTTTATTAAATTAATCTAAATATTTTAGATTAACTTTGAAATGTGTTTTCTTATATACTATATGCTATCTGCTTATGGAAATATGTGAATGCATTTTCACGTCAAAACTAGAATCAGTTCTTTTTTTTTTTGACAATATAATAGCATTTTAGGATATGTAAATGTACAATCAATATTATATGATTATGAGATATTAAAGTATATAATGTCGGTAGCATGCAATTATAGTGAATCTCAATAATATTTGTAGACTTTTGAAAAAATTTAAGTTCTAGCTGAATGTGTTATTAAGAACACTATTAATTTTATAAATTAGTATTTTTCACACTCCCATCCCCTTTTCCTTTATTATACCTTAAAACTCTGTTCTTTTCTAATCAATCAAATTGCAAATTTCTACAGCTCAGTTAGAAGACCCAACTTTTCGATTGCTCTACTGGCTTAGCTTCTCAAGTGCCCGCAGATTCAAAGAATTTGAAGAAAATTGAGCCCAACAGCTGCCCTAACCCGGTTGCAGAACCCACTTAAGTGTAGCCGAATCATATCACACACATATAATATATAGAGCAAACAATCATTGTACAACGTACCGAGCGCATTAGCCAAAATTAATTTAAATAAATAAATTTAAATGTAATATTAACAATGAACACAAATGGCTGGCGGCGCTAAACCGCTTAGGATTCGTTCATGTATAAGAGATTTGCACACGCTAATTGGCTGCATGGAGGCCCGAAATCAGAAAATATGCATTGCCCAACCCAACATTGAGTTCATTGTGGTTTATGTGACAATTTGAGCGGTGCGGGCACTCGAAGCGACCGCAGAGTAGCCAAAATATTGAACAGCAACTCACAGTTGACTAAGCAGGAGCCCATAATAACCCGGCCATAGTTAACCCGGTTGGCTTGCTTTTGTCATTAAACGGGATTAGCATGAATATGTAGCTAAATACATGCATTCACAAATATGTATATATATGTGTATATGTATGTATATATGTATGTATATCTGTAACTGTGTATTGTAATATTCGATGGCATGGAGCGGCTTAGGCGGCTTAGGCCACTTGAAAAATGGTGACATTTGTGATGCGTGCAAAATTAGTTTTTTGGCTGCGCCACAGGAAGTCGCACAAATGACACGCGCCCAGGAGCCAAAGCCAGCCCAGCCCAGCCCAGCCCAGTGCAATCAGCAACCAAAGCAAAACGAAAGTCAAGCCTCAAATCTAGATATGAAATCAGTGCATGATGCACTATGCGACACGAATATGTTTTCATTAAATGGAAACAATGTATGTGCGCACGTTATCGAGATATAAATGTCAGAAATCGCGGACCATTTCACCACTAAATGCCGGCAGCCAGTTAATCCCTTTGTGATAGATAAGATTAGTCAGGAGCGGGCGCATTGCATTGGGACTGGAATTGGATTGTAATTACTGTAGTAGATAATTATATTGTCAGTGCGTCCTTTAGCGGTATCCTTATAATACAACAGCAACAACAACAAAACTGAAATAAAATAAAACGTAAAAGAGAGCTGCACAATAGACACACACAGACATTTCCTGGACTCGAGCACCCCTTCCGCTGGCCGCTTTGGCCCTTTGTTGGGCGCACTCTCAAGCATATCAGGTTACACAGTTACAGCGCTTAAATGCGTTCTTTGCAGCGCTATAATTAAACCGCAGTTGAGCAGCAGCCAGCCGAAGGACTTCCACAGTAGCTGACCACTAATTAAAAAGCAAAAAAAAAAATAAAATTAAATAAAAGTAAAAAATGTAATACCAATGCTTGCAGCCCAGGTGAAAGTCAGTCAACAATATTTACGTATGCGCGTATTTGTATTAAACGATCAGTCAGCGTTTTGGGCGCGCTCGAATTAATCATTTGACGGAGCGGCCAGCGAGTTCGATGATCAAGTGATAAGCCCGTCACATAGGCAGCCACACGTCAGCTGTAAGCGCCAAACAGCAGGAGTCAACACTTGGTCACTGCGCGAGGGCGATCCTCGCGCTCTTAATTGGGGTAACCTGCACGCGACCCTCGCCACAGGACTGCGACTGCGACTGCGACTGCGACTCGCTTATCGCAGGATCGATCGAGCGAGCGCATGCGTAAATGAAATGAAAATGATCATCATTAAATAAAAAACACACACACACAGAGGAAAGCTAAGAGCTGTCTACTTTGCATGTGTTTGGACAAAAAGTTGAGCAGTCTCGCTCATAAAATAAAAGTGCAACATTTTTTAATTCAACACATGCCTTAATCGAGCATTTCTGAAACTCGATCGCTTGACTCATGTCCTTTTTATGCTCATTTAAATGCCGGCCAAGTGGGGCTACCCCGCTTGCTGGTGTCTTTTTTTTTCTGTTTGAGCTGCATTGCCATATGTAGGTGGCTCTGTTCATAAATAAAAACACACACACGGCTTTTAGGTAGGTCAGTCAGTCGTCCATTCATTCAGTGAGGGTTCATTCAACACAAAGTTGCATTCATTCACTTCACATGCCGGAATATTGACAGACAGTTATCAAACTGCATTGAATTACATGCTGCATCTGCAAATGTTGCGAAATTCGATATTCTTCCCGAATTGCATAGCCAAATCGAAGTAATCAATATCGATTTAGGTGCGCACATGGAGGTCAGTCTGATGTAGATATTCAAATGGAAATTTACTTATTTCATTTTGCATATTTTTTAAAGCGGCTTAGGCGAACTTAAGCTGCAATTGTTATAGATAAATAAAAAGAAGAAAAATACAAAATATTTATATTCATCTTGGATTTCTTAAGTAACTTTGCTATGCTTTTCACTATAGCTTTTACTTGTGGAATTAAGTGAATGCATATTCAGGCTAAAATTCAACTTCAATGCATACTTTTCTCATAATATAATACAATTATAATCTGTATATTCTATTCTTGTAAAATTTGCGGACTCTTGAAACACTCGGAGCATTTTCGAATTCCATAAATTAGCCTTTTTATCACTAGTCTCTCATCTCGGCACCCACTTAAGGTGTCCTCTAACAGTTGCCCTGCACTCTTTGAGTACTTCCATTAAAAATTATTATCTCTCGCAATCAGTTACAGCAACACGAATTACTCCAGGCTACTCGAGACTGGATTCGTGTGTTTTTCCCGAGAAGAGATTTGCGTCACCTCGATCTCAATGCTATTGTACTCCGTTTGCTTAAGGATTACACAAATTTTGCTCAATGCTTCGAGGGGCAGGGAAACTGGACTACATCAGGTGAAATTGTAGCCGCTTAGGCTCATTGGGAAATAAGGGAACGCTTGACTTTTTGGTTTCACGTTGGTCTGCCAAACAAAGAGCGAGCGAGCGAGGCTCTCGAGTGGTAAGCCGGGTCTAAACGGCTCTGCCAAAGTGCACCCAAGCAGCTACCGGGCAAAGACTCACCTTGAGAGCATGGCCGCATCCTGAGGTCCGGCCGCGCCATGTTGCGGCAATTGCGGAATGGGCGTTATCAGCGCGGTGGCGCCGTTCTTTTTCGCTGGCTCGCTGCGGCTCAGTATGCTGGAGATGGAGAAGCTGGTGAAGCCATTGGAGCCAGTTGTGGCCTTGTTGCCATTGCTGCTCGTGTTGCTGTCGTTGCTGTTGGCGCCAATGGAGGCCGCCGCTGCAGCCACCGCGGCCGCAGCCGCCGAGGCACAGGTGCTGTTGTGGTTAACTGTCTTGCTGTTGTTGTTGTTGTTGTTCAGGTTCTGGGCGAGCTCCTCACTGGTGCTGCCACTGCCGTTGCGCTCCAGCTCTGGTGTCTTGGGCGCCATCGCGGCCAGGGCGGGCGGTGAGCCGAGGCGATCGCCCAGATGTGTCGGCGCAATGGCGTGGTGTAGCAGAGCGGGATGCGATGCGGTGTGAGCCGGATGCAGATGGCCAAAGCTGTGCAGCGCGTGGTGCAGCGCCACCGGATGGCCACTGAGCGAGCTGAGATGATGCTGCAGATGGTGGTGCAGCACTGCCGGCGGCACTGCGCCGTTGGGACTGTGGTGATAGTGCGGCACGGTCACGGCGGACGTCGATGTGGGCGTGCCGCTGGCTGTGTTCGGCGTGGAGCGATGCGTGGGCGTCGCTGGTGGGGAGCTGCCGTCAACGGAGCGCGCCAAGGGGCTCTCGCGGCCATTGCTCATGCCGGCGGCACCCAACGGACTTGGCTCCGGACTGGACACCACGCTAATATCGACCTCAGCGTCAGACGAAGACATCTCTGCACAGAACACGCACAAAACTCTTTTTTTTTTTCACTTGATTTCAATTGAATCTATTTCAAATTAATTCACAGTGTTTTCTATTTTTTGTTGGAATTGTTCCATGAACTGTTTCAGTTTCGACTGCTGTCACACGAATTGGCTGCTGCCGCACTTGGCCGGACGAGCATCCGTCGTCTATAGGCGATGAAAATAAAGTTCCTCAGGTGGCAACCGAAACGTCTGCACCGTTTGATCAACGATTCGCATTTAAATTCAAATGTTTTCTGTTAACAAACGCAAAGTCCTCGACGCGTCTGCCAGCCTACCTTTCTCTTTCGCTCGCTTAAACTCTCTCCCTCACTCACACTCGAGCCCTCGCATATGTGTGTGCCTGTGTCTGTCTGTGTGTGTGTGTGTGTTTGTGAAAGCGATCGCTTAGTAATTTTATTGTTTAAGTCTTTGGATTTTTAACCCCCGGTTGTATCAGAGAGCGTGTGCGCCGACTGCCTGCTGCGGCGTTCGACTGAAACTGAAACATGAAATGTGCTGAGCAGAACTAAACTCAGCTCGGATGGTTGGTTGGCTGTCGGCTGTGAAATTCTTTCGGTCTTTGCGCTAAATGGTTTTCCGCAAGTTGACAGTAGCACAAACACACACACACGCACACACACACACTCACGCACAGTTAGAGGGTGAAGCAGAGATAGCAGTGGGTTGCAGGAGAGTTTGTCTGTGTGGGGTTGTTTCTCTGCTTTGAGAGTCTCTCGTCGCATCGTGCGCGCTCTTTCTAGCAGGGGTAGCTAGAGCATGCAGCTCTTTGGCCCAGCCCGACCCGGCCCGGCTTGGTTCGGCCTGTTCCCATTTCCATTCCGTTTGCAGCTGAATTTCTGCTTTCGTTTATTTTGACAATTGCGCTGCAACCGCATCGACAGACACTTTCCGTATTTTCTCCTATTTTCTTTCATTTTATTTTTGTTGTTGTTGTTAGTTTTGTCGAAAGTCCTTAAGCTCTGACAATAAAAGCCATAACAAAAAAATACGAAGAGCAAGTTTTGAATCTCAGCTTGAAACACTTGGCAATCGAAACATGTCTGGGAGGAAGTCTCGCTTAGCTGTGCGTGTGTAGGTCTATGTGTGTGTGTGTGTGTGCTTGTCTCTGTGTTGGCCTCCCATTGAAATGCCAATATAAAATCAATCAATTGGCACCCGACAAGGGTCAAGTGCTGCTCTGTGTGCAGTGCTTTGGCTCCAAAGTGTACAAAGTATCTTAATTGATGGCAGTTGAAAGGTTCCTTTCGGGTGAAGTGAGCAAACGAATTAGAAAAGTGTTAAATTTCATAAAATTGCAAAGAGCTTAACATTTGAAATAAGTCTGCCAAATATGAACTCTATTATATGTAGCTATAATAAATTTAGAATATCTATTTCCTGGCATTGTAACTCCAGGCTAGTAGATGAATGTAGCATAACTAAACCAAAATATGTAAATAATAATTATTATAGTAGAAATATGAATAATAAAACGATTAATATATCAATCAGTTGAAAATCGCTTTGCATTTTGCTAACTGCTTTATATATGTAAATCCAACAAGTTCGAACTAAACCCAACCGTTTGACTCATATCACAGCATATACGCGTTCCATTCCACATCGTTCCGCATAGACAAACCACCCCGATGCGCGCACAGAGGCAGCCATTTTTACAAAAGCTGAGCAAACTTTGCAGACAGCGAGAGCGAGAGACCAAGAGCGAGAGAGTGTGAGAAGGGGAGTGTGAGAGAGAGAGAGCGGCCAGCAAATTGAATTTTTAACTGCCTTCGACTGGGACGACCACGAGGCATTCAATAAGTGTTGCAGCAATTTGCACAAAACAAAAAAAAACTTTGTGCGAGGCAATTGCACAGAGCAAACTGCCGAGAGAGAGAGAGAGAGAGAGAGAGAGAGAGGCAGTCAAATGGAATGATAGAGACAGAGCATGGGAGAGAGGGAGAGAGCGAGCGCGCGCGTAAGGCAGCAAGTGCGTGCTGAGAGTGGGCGTGTCGACGGCAGGCCAATGGAAACCGTCCGCGGCCACCACTAACGCTCAGCTGACACCGCCGGCAAATAACCAAAAACATTTGCCACCAAGACGGCAAACGACGGCAACACAGAAAAATGCGTAGAAATTCATGCGCAATTACATTTATCCTGTTTAGAAGATTGCTTTGCCAAAGTGCGTCTCAAAGTGCTGCCAGCCACCGCAGACTTTGGCGCTTGCTCCCCTCGCAAGCATTTACCCAGCACATACAGACAGAGGTGTGGAGCAGCATTGGGTGTGTGTGCGCGTGTGTGTGTCTGTGTGTGTGTGGGAGGGTGCCGAGAGTTCCACCTGACGGCATTGCAATGTAACACATTTTTATGTAATTTCCCTCTGCGCTTTGCTTGTTTTTGATTCGTTTTCATGTTAGACTTTGCAACGAGAGCAGCCCATGGAGCAGCAGCTCGAAACGATTCCAAAGAGAGTACGACACCGTCGCTTAGTTCAAAAGGTGTTGACACTTAGGCGCTGCCCCACTTTAATTTTAACTGAATGCACAAATGAAATCGCGTTACTTGCGATACGATGCGAGCCAGGGCCAGTCGAACCAGGGCAGAGGGCATCGTCACTCCACCTCCTCCTCCAAATGCCATTTTTAGGCAGAGCCGAGCACAACTCTGTGTGTATGCATGTATACGAGGGAGCTTTAGAGAAACAATTCCATTTGATTTTGATTTCCTTTTGACGACGATGCGATGCGGACCTGTCATTATGCCCAATCACTAATTAGGCAAATTGGACAATGGGAGGAACAAAGGGAGTTACTCCCAAACGGAATGGATGCGTCAACAACTGAATAGCTAAGAGCTGACAAATTCTATTCCAGTTATTGCAAACAAGCCTAAAATTAAAACTTAGCCCCCAACTGTTGGCCTCTCCGAGCCAACGTTAAGCTCCCTGGCCCCCTGCACTCAGTGGTCAGTGGGCAAAGGCAAGCCACAAAAATTCCAAAAGCAACGACCAAAGCTCTTTTACTTCGAACATTTAAAAGAAATAACAAACTGTTCAACTGTCGGACAAAACGATTCTACAACAAATTGCACTGCAATAAAAGAGTATTTATATATATATATAAATATGTGCTTGTATGCGAGAGAGAGTGAGATAGCATATGGCTGTGCTAGAACGAAAGACGAGTGAAACCAAAGCCAAAGCCAAAGCCAAAGCCAAAAGCACTGCAGACATGCTTCAGAGCTTTTCCACAGTACGTATGCTTGCCAGACACACACACACACAGGCATGTATATATATGTGTATGTGTGTGTGTGCACAAAGGCAAACAAGAAAAACAACTCTTAATTGACGTACGAGCAAAGTGGGAGTTGCAATTTTCATTGACTCCACTTTAGCTGGCAGTCGGGTGCCTAAAAGTCGACCACAGCGCAGTGCATACGGCCGACAGGTCGTTGGATGAGATAGTGGAGCTGGAGAAGGTGCGAGGAGGTGGAGAGGGTGGCACAGGCGTGAGCTGAATCGGTATTGCTATGCTGTGCAAGAGCTTCTAGTCAGGCTTGAGCAACACATTTTGATCGGCCAACTGAAGGCAACTGCTTCGCCTATGTGAGGCGCACACACATACACACATACACACATACATACAGACATTGTCTATATTTCGGCATATGCCACAAGCAATATTTGCTCGACTTAACTGCAATTAATTTGGCAATTGACGTTGGTCTATATTGCTGTGCTGGGGCATACATAGACATACACACATATACATATATCTGCTCAATGCAATGGGGCTATAATAACATAAATTTATGCTGGCTAATCGAAAGCTCCATTTCCTTATCGGGCACATTAGGCAAATGAGTGCGGCTTTTGTTCGCTATTAACATTTGTATAATAGACGGCGAGCATGCCAAACAATAAACTGCACGGCATGGCGATGGAATGGTTAAAAGCAAATGGAGTTGTAGTCTCTTCGCCGGACGCTAGCGTCTATTTTGGATATTAGGCTGCTAAATATCTGACGCGCTTTCGGGGCTTGGCTTTGTCTTCATTCAAATGCAAACAATAGCTGGCTAAAATATGTAACGCAACCCTCTGCCTCTCCCACCCACACACACACACACACACACACGTAAATGAGAGCGAAGGTAACTGAAAGAGTATATACATGTATATGTATATATACGTGAATGTGAACACACGCAACACAGGCAGCCCCTGTCGCTGCGCTCATAAATAACGCTTTAGACTCTGATTTAAATAAATTGTATTACGAACGCTCATATTTTATCATTTCAACAGTTTCGCGTGGCCCACGATTCGATTCCAATTTTCTGTGTGCGTTTCCTTCAAGATTTGGATCCTGCCTGATTGAGTACCATTTTAAACGTATAAATTTCATTCTCAAGTCGTTAAACTGCTGCTCGAGGACAAACGACATAATGTGCAGAGAATTTGACTCCATTATGCTGCCTGAACGGGCACTTTACCCATCCGTTAGTTATTGATTTAAAAAGTATTTAACCAAATAAATTTAAAGCACAGGCACAAAATTGACAAGTATTTGAAATTGTGAATCGTTTTAATTATTGCCCAATAAAAATACATAAATTCTATCAACTGTGCGAAACAAATTTGTTGTTGGCTTTTGTTGTAACAATCATTGGCTATTAAATAAATTGAATTGATAAATGAAACGCTTGCCGGCTAACATCAACTCACAACAGTATTAAATTACCATTTGTAATAACACAAATAGTGAAGTGGGTACAGGACGAGCGTGAGTAGTGAGAGCTAAAGGGAATCAGCAAATAATTAATTCAAACAAAGAGGAATGAAAAGAGCCGCAGAATTCGGAGTGAATCGAATACTGTTGGCTAAAAAATGAAACTCAGCTAAACGTTAAATTGGAAGTAAGCCAAAAGAAAAGAATGTAATGAATTGTGAGTGCTCTTGTCGAGGTTGGCCGACTTACAGATACTCAGTACTAGGCACCAAGCATCAGTCCAGCTTTTGCTCAATTAAATATCATTACTGCATAT